AACAATTTTTAGGAGATTTTCTCCAACGGTGAGATAAACTCACCATTAGCTTTCTTCTCTCTTGTAAACTTCATATCAGAGTATAGTACTCCAGCTTCAGACATTTTACTGTTGTGTGACTTTTAGTGAGTCTGAAAGAAACTTTTCACAAGATTCAAAATGGAAAGCATTTCCTGTCAAACAGAAAGAAGAGGAGGGCTTTAAAAACCTCCTGCCACAAAATGATTTTCGGTCTCTTGAATTTTCACAATGTCCAGTCTTGGTCTCAGGTCACAAACGTTTCAGGCTGACTCTGTCTGTCTAATGGAAACAGGAACAGAAAGAGTCCTGTCCACCGCCTTGATCTTGGGCTCAGCTTTCACTACTAACAAAATGGTCTGACACATACTGGTATCTTGACACAATCTCCCACTGATCCATTCAGCCACAAAAATCCAGCATATTCAAGTGCAGAAAGTGGACACAACAACATAAATAACTCTACAACATGAAGCTGCCAGACACAGAAATTAAAACCAACCAGACAGGAAGCACAAGACTTGTTGCATCAGATAACAAATAAAAAAAACACACACACATAATTAGCAACAGTTCCTCAGTTTGTTCTGCTGTTGACCTTTGCCTTAAATGCTTGAAACTTTCAAAGCTAATTGAGTTCTCTCTTTTTTATCTATAGTCAAATGATATCATTGGTTTTAGTTTTACGTTATTTTAAGTTACAACACTGGCATGTACACAGAGCTTTTCTAATCTTACAAACCACTCAGTCTACTTACACTACAAATAAGAATGCAGGCAGTTTAGAGTAATAGACTAACCTAAAATGCAGATCTATGGACCGTTCGTGACGCCATGTTAAGTAAAACTGTCTCTTCATTGTAAAAACTGTAGTCCTGTAAACATTAACTTTTTATAAATCATTTGACAACCAGCAGAAAGTTTTTGTAGTATTTAGAGCCATAGTGAGATATTTCTTTAAACAATGTATTTTTATTAAGAGTTTTTTCTTCATACATATAAACAGAAAGAGAAGAAAAGGGTTACATATGATCTGTACATTTGGGGTAGTTAGCCCAACACTTCCCACTTAGCAAAATTGGTATGGCCTAGATCTGGCCCACACAATGTGCTTACACAAGGCCCACATACCGCAAAGAATGATGGCCCTTTGGTGGCCCAGATCGGGTTTGCCAGATGTGGCCCAACACATGGGCCAGTACAAGGCCAGCTGCAGACACACTGGTGGTTCTGTGTTGGCCCATGTCTGGACTACCTCTGGCAAACCTGATCTTGGCCACCAAAGGGCCGTCATTCTTTGCGGTATGTGGGCCATGTGTAAGTTGTGTGCAGCCACGGACCAGTTGTAGA